TCCACTACTCGCTCACCGGATTCAAAACGTTTTATGATGTCAATTTTTGTAAAGAGAGTTATAGTTTCCCGATTTTTTTTAATATTTTCGACTATAGGCGAACCTGGACGTTTTGTTGTCATATTAATTTATTGATTAACAAATACTATGCAACACTAAAATAATTCATAATTATACATACAGCATAAAACAGACAGAAAAAGTGTCGTTGAACAACTGATTATCAATAAAGTGATAAAAGATTACGGAGTCCATAAAACTTAAGATAAATAAAAATTGTACCCTCGTTTGATAGATATGTCAATAAAAACCATAACATTATTTAGGTACATATTATCTGGTAAAGGTCGACGACATTAAATTACATATTTATATATGAAATATATATAAATATAAACACATGTATTATGTATTACAAACGACGTTATACTGAAAACGTTGCAGTGTTAAACGAAACATAAGGACTTAAACGTCTACGACGCAATAGCGAAACAGCACTAAATGAGGCAAAGTTAAACGAGAACTTACTGTATAATGAATAATGATTTATCATTAAATTTAAATTTAACGCATTTATTACAGTGTCCCATTCGATAACAATTTTACAATAAAGCTCACCTCATTTTAAATATTTTTTTTACTCATTTTATTTATTAAATATTATTATCAATTGATTGAGTTCTATAGTTCTCTATCTAATGACATTTATCTATACTTAATTTTATTTTTTGCATTTTTATACCGATTTGAATTGATTTAGAAATCAATGCAGATGTCTTAAAAAATGTTGGAATATAAACATTTGTATTTGTATTTATTGTCTACTGTTGTTATATTATTACATGTTGATGTATTCTTTGTTCGATTAAAAACTAATTTATACAAAATAAAACAAATGATTAATAAAAAAAAATAATGCACATAAATTATAATAATAAATATGGAATTTTTGTTTCATAAGATCACAACACAAGGTTGGTCATATACATATAAGCACAAGTTCGATATTAGCTTCGGACCATGTAGCTTGATGGATTTTATTGGCTGTTGAGTAGAAGGGGGGTAGGATACCTTGATGAGTAAAAATTATCGATTCACAATCTACATACTATAAACCATCAGAACACAGCGTCAATTTAAAAATTAAACTGTAAATACATTCCGAACGATTGTAATGGAAAATAAATTTAAAAATCAGTACATAATAATTATTGTATAAACTATATAATATGTTAAGTATTCTAACTCAGTTAATGTAGTACAGACTTTTAGTCAATATGATTGTTGGAATAATTTCTGTAATCAAATAACAAACATAACATGTAATACAATTAAAAATTATAGTACTGTAACTATTTAATATGGGTATAAGGTGCACTATATTTTATGATTTGTAAGCAGTTTTAATTCAGATTTGTACAATAATTACCACCGCAATACAATAAAGCCTTTAGCGTACCTTCGTGATACCTCTATAATTTTTGTTAATCAATTATGCAAGCAGCTGTAGACTTGGACTTAGTATATGTATCAATCTAATCAATTAGTTTTTTTTTTTTTATGACAGCTAATTTTAACTTATACTTAAATTGGATTTAAAAAGCCTAAAAAACGATAAAAATAATAAAATACATTTTCGATGCATTGGTGCACTTAAAAATGATAAATATTTTTTTATAGGCACGCAGTTGTGCAAACTATAAAAAAACAATGTTTTGACTTTTAACGTTTACAACACTTTTTTATCTTAACTAAACCAACAATATTACAAAAACAATACTTATAAATTGTAAGTTATTATAAATTGCCATATTGCGACGCACATCGTTATTGCTTTTCATTGTTTTATGCATCCAACCTTGTTAAATACTTTTCTTTATACCAATATATACTACAATATGTTATGATAATTATTTGGGGCGGTGCCTTAAAATATGTACTTAATCTCTTAAGAGTACAACAAAATAACATGATTCGTCTATTTTTAAAGAAAGACAATTTTATAGGATCCACATAATCAAACTATCCTTAAAAAAATAACTATAATGTTTGCATATAAAAAATCTAATTTATTCTTTATTAAATAAAATGATAAACTCATGAGTGGAAATAGAATATTAAATATTAAAGTGATATACACTAACATAAGTTTTGGTCAAAAATTCATTTATTATCTTGGTCTCGTTAATTTTAACCACTTTTTAATTAATATACAATATATATATATATATATATATTCTTAATATTAAGAAATATATAAATAATGTTTTTTTTTTTTAATGAATTGAGTCAGTGTATAATTTTTTATAATTCGTTTGTAATTACTATAATAAATCTAAACTAAACTATTTGTGCTTACTAATTACTATATTATATTTAAAATATTTTTTTTTATACGTTTAATAGTTTAATCTCATGTGCATAATTTAACTCCCTACACTACCAAAAGCTCAGCTTAAAAGTGTAGGAAGTTTTTGTTATTTTAATTAATACTTTGTTATATTGTGTTAATTTAATAATAATAATAATTTAAAAAATTACGTATAAAAGATATATTAATAAAAAAAAGTCCATTGTCCTCTTATAAGCTTTGTGAGACTTTAAAACATAAAATTTCGATCGCTGACCGCGATCACATCGAAACATTGTAAAATATAATATGCGTTTAAATAATAATAGATAGACCATGGTATGCAGACGCGTTCAGTTAGATAAATTCGATCGGAACAATGTAGAGTATCCTTAAAGTAAATAAGTAGTATGTAGAGTAACCTAATCTAACCTCCTTTGTATGGAGACTATTAAGTGGTTCAATAATTAAGTTCTACATATTGTAGAACGATTGAGCATCCGGGTACTAAAAAAAATCGGATCACATGAATTACTTTTAATATATTTCTGGACAAACCAACGTTTTAAAATATGCACCTTTAACAAAAATGATGTAGCTATGCAAGACAACAATGTTTCTCATTAGAATAAATCTACTACATTTACCCACATTTTACCACTTAAAGTTTCTCTATTAGTTATATTTTATTGTATATTTAAGTAAATAATTGTTATTATTTAACTAAAAGCCGTTCGGTGTTTAAAATTTCAAATACATAAATATATCACGTGGAACATTTTTAAAATTCGATCGCATTTCTACCCGGTTGTGTTAATATTATGATGTGCAAGTATCAATAAACAATATTTTATATTATTATTTCGTGAACATTACGTGTCATATAATATGACATACGATGACAACTGTAGTATTATTAGGCATATATTACGCGCTCGACTTGCGCTACTACATATTTTAATATAGGTACTTGAAACGTATTTGATGATGCACCTGATGTAAGCAGTTATATTAGTATACTACCTACCTATCCAGCAATCATTCGAACGCGATTATGTTGTAAGTAGGAATTGTTTTCTACGTTCATAAAATTTTTTCATGTTCACGTATTTTATAAATCGTATGAGGAAAAAAATACTGTACTCAATTTTATTGTCGAGCATATATTGTTGTAAGTAGGATAGACAAGTATTATATAATATAATATTATTACACGTATAACAAGAATGACTGTTGTCAGCGTTGTTATAACATAAAACGGTTAGAATTTTAAGTAAGTACTAGCTGAAGGTACTATTATACGTATACTCAACGGTTTTAGATGTTTTAAAAGTTATTATAACCTAAAAACTAATCGAATTTTGTTTACCTCCATTCATAATAGGTACCTAGAGGCTAGAAATATTAGTGTCTTACAATCATTTATTATGTTATTAACAAATAATACGGCTGAAAAGGTTGACTTTTTCTTGTTATACGCTGATATATCATATCATTATAAAAATTACGGTTATAACTACTTAAAAAGTTGTATAGTTATGTTTAAGAAAATACAACTAATTTTTATAGTAGATAATTACTGTTTAGATATATATATATATATAACGGTCTCAATTACAGCGGATTTTGTTTGCACATACATATAATCTGTATCTGTGTATTGTTTATTGATACTTAAATTATAGTAGGTATAGAGTTTGTATATAATACAAAAAAAATCAATTAATTCGATGCTAAGAAAGGGTTTCAATAATAATCCTTAAAAGTTATATTAGAATATAATTATTATAACTTTTAAAACCTTTATAAAATAGAATTTACATATTTTCTTTGATCATCGTAAATTAGTTTACAAAAACTAGTTTGCACACTTTTTAAAATGTCCGGTTTATTAAAGCATGGATCTGTTTGCACACAAACTGTTATATAAGTAACCACTCGTATACGCTTATACGCATTTATTATCTGTATTTCATCAAATACAAAATAATAATTCATAATGACGGGAGTATAAAAAATAATAATCCCGAAGTAGGTAAATTAATTCAATATAACAGTTTACCGTGTTTGACACCATAAGAAATATAGATAATATATTTTGCAAATTTATTAGCTTTTATACCATCTCTGTCAGATTATATTTCCCGGATTATGTTTTTCTAGCATATATTATGTATTGTCCGTAAAACCAAATGATGAACAATTAAGGAAAACGAATGAAGCTGAAACTTTTTATAGGCATTTTAATAATGAAAATATATTTTTATAAAATGTGCGCAAACAAGTTATAAAAATGTAGCTAATATAAGTTGTTATTGTAGTAAGGGTACAAAAAACTAGGACCGCTTGTAAACTAATAACTAATTTCATGTCAGCCAAACAGTATATAGGTACACATCATTTTTAATGATGAAAAACACTTATTATCTGAATCGTATTTCGAATAACTATAATAGATAATACAGGTAATATTGCCTATTGGATTGAACGATGAAGTATAGTAATATGTTTTCTTCATAATTTTATAACTTTTAGCCATTTATGATTTGCATGTATTGCACGTAGTAAAAATATATTATACATTATTTGCAAATATGATGACATCGCAGAATTACATGATAAATAATAAATTTGTTTAATTTGTTTCCAGGTTTGATATCGTTGATGCTAATTGGCATTTCCGCGCTCGTTTTGGGTACGCTAATTGCCATATTCGATCCATTTCAACTAATACTCAAATGGGTAAGTGACGACAATCCACAGTCGACGGTTTTAAGATACATATGTTATTTTAAGAACTTTTTGATCGTATAATTTTAAGTAAAACAATACAGTATAATATATTTCACACGTTTTAGTAAAAAAAATTGCTGTTTATCAAACGTGCTAAATCGTCCGTCACTGTATTATGGAAGAGAAATATTATATTATTATTTTCATAGTTCAATTCGCTATGTGTCTGCTGTACAAAGACACCAATAAGTATACTGTATATACCTAGCATATGTTAAACTCTCTCAGTACTCGTATTCAGTAGACTGGTAGTATTTTGAACTTTGATAGTAGAATTATATTAATTCCAGTTAAAGTAAAATGTCTGTCTACCTGCTTATATCAATATACCTATATCAAGATTTTTCCACAGTGCAAGAAATTTTTATTATTTGTGATATTTTTTTGTACTTAGATTGTACTTATACGTATATACTTTTTAAATAGTGTTTTATGGCAATACAAACGTCTTTTTTCGAATGAACGTCATCATTTTATGTTGGTTCATGGTTGTTAATTAGATGACTTTTTTAAAAATTTCAACTCGTAAAAATCAAAATACGAATTGGTAAAGTTTTTAAGTTACTTAAATTTGTGTACTAAGATTAATTTATACAATAGCTTAAAATCTATGAGGCTATGATGATTTAAGAATTTTAATAGTTAATATATTAATTTATTCATTAATAACTTATAATTTATAAAAAATGTCTTAGTTAATAAATACTATATGATCCAATATATTAGTTATTAATCCATTTTTAAGGATTATTAAATCCTAAGCATACATATATAACGTATACTTTAAGATCTATGACATTGTATTTATACTTAAACATTTTAGTGTTTTTATTAAATATCCTGATGATTAGAAGTCTCTGGTAGGTACCCAAACGCGTTTAAAATTTCACATATACAATCGCTAAAGGAATCAAATGCGTCTTGTCGACTTGGCGATTTGTTAAGGTCAAATTAATCTCCAAATATATTATATTATTATATTATAAATAATATTATAATGATCTCCATAGGTTTATGCATACGTCATGACTTATGACGTGTAGTATTTAGATATAGAGGCAAGACGTGGATCATATAATAATTAGGCACGATGGATAAATTTCGTTCAGCCAATTTAAAAATCATCTATAGATGCGTCACATATAAATAGTTAATAAAGAAAAAAGCCTCTACCTCTGTTTAGTAATTTTTAAAAATATCGTATACGCATCTACATACCTCCGCCGTCGTTGAGACAAACATGTTTTTCAGTTTTTTTTAAAAATATTTCTTGTTGCACATCCGGAGATAATAGTGACGACCGCAACCGCGACCGTGACGTGGATAATACCTGTTCTCCAGCCACTTTTATTCACCGGGGTTTTCCGATGTGTTGTTCGAGAGCCCGCGTCATAATATGGGTATAACTGCCTATAAAACAGTTTATTATAAGTTTATCAGTGGAACGAAGCAAAACAAAATAATGACAGCATTAATAGGCTTTTTTGACGTAGTTGTTGTTACGATGTGAATGTTCTTCGCATTATTGAGTACTAGGTAGGTACTTATTATTTTGCGATTTGTTTTGCAGATCGAAAACGATTGGGGTCATAATAAAATTATAAATGTAGCGGTATAATAAAAGATGTATAATTTATACCAACCTATAATAGTACTCTTAGGTTACTGATATTTTCAGTACCTACAAATGTAAAGGAACTAGTTTTCGAGCCAAAAATTTAATTGCTGCGATTCTACGAACGTAGGCTAAGGTATGTTTTCCTTTACTGTACGGACCGTAAACCTGAAAATCTTATACATACACATCACCCAAAATAAAAATAGATTTTTCATTTCAGAATTCCACCCAGATGTGCGTAATTGTTTTTATTCTATTGAATGTCTACTCATACATATAACATCAGTAATAATAGGTAATTGAGTTCAGCGTTCTTAAAATATTGATATTATTATCGTTTATTACGAATGTACTGTCACTCATTCAAAATACATATTCTTATAATAATTAACAAGTAAATCTCTGGATTTACGTTTTGGTAACATTTTGTTTAAATAATTGAAATAATATTTTCGATTCGTCTTAGTAATATTACATTATTCTTCCTCGTGTAGAATATACTTCCTAGTTTCTACTATGACGCCTTAAAAAAAATTAATGCATTTATAAATAACCAAATGTTATTACTTTTTAATTTTTACTACAGAGTGGTTTATTCAATTATATTCATATGAATATATCTATTTATTATTCTATTAACACTCATATGTATTATATCGCTAATGACGCTAATGTATTAAATCGTATGATTAAACTATTTAAACAAAATTATAGAATATTACATGGAATAATGATTAAATTAAATTCACACGCATTAAAATAGTGTAACTTTAGTTCGAAATTAAATATGGCGAAAAATATGTTATAATTTATTATAATTCAATGTTTTTTGTAACACGGCGTTTGTTCTTGTTTAAAAGTTTATTTTAGCGGTTAGTGAAAACTGAAAAGAAAAATATTTGATAAATTTATCTTTTAATAATATATATATTTTGATTTTGTAAATAATAATTTTATTCTCAATTTTAAAAGATCGAAACTTTTTAACAAATATTAAAAAAAAAGTTAAATATTTTTACAAATTATCTGAATAATTGACTTCTTTGTTTATTCATTAGATTAGACATCGTTACGTCATACATAACCAAAAAAAAAAAATAATATTGCTCAACCTTCAATAATATTAACCCTGAAATATAAATATTGTTTTGATTTTGACCACAAGAATATTCGGATAGCTCCTAATACCTACGTATTTACTATTTTTACTGCATAAATCAATAATAAATTTGATGTTTAACGAATTCATCATTAATTTGATACAATCCAATAATTTTTCCATATCGAGTAAATATATAATAAATACCAACTCGAGTCGGTACTTATTTTATCATTGAAATTTTTTTTGCAGAAACTCGTAATGAGCAAAGGTGACGAAACGTTTGAGATGTGGAAATCACCAGAAGCAGAAGTTTACTTAAAGGTATTCATATTCAACATAACGAACCATGAAGATTTCTTGGCCGGTAAAGATGAAAAATTGCGGTTTAAAGAAGTTGGCCCATATGTCTATAGGTATTTATTGAAAAAAACGTAATCTGTATTAATTTGATTTGTATATTTCTAAGCTGTTTCTTAATTTACGTCAAAACGACAATGTTATTCAATACATATTTTTATGTGTATATTAATTTATACTTGAAACCCTAACAATTGATTAAGATCGAGACAAATGATTTACACATTACACACTTTACACACAATCAATATAAATATAACAAGAGCACGATTGACATTATATGGTATTTATTTATCTAATCACGGTTCGAAGATAAATTAGATAATATTGTTAATTTTTTACATTTAAAGACTTTGTTTTTACATCATAAACTTAAACAATTAGAATGTATTATATGTATTTATGTTTCTCGGAATTTAGAATATTTCATTGTTAATTGTTTGAGGAAAAATAAAAATTAAGTAATTCTACCTTATAAACAGCAAATAAATACATCACTAGAGCAATTATATAACTTTATAATAAATATGTACGCCTATTTCAGAAATAAAATATAATTTTATTAGAAAAAAAATAAAGATGTAAAATAGAAATAGAAAAAATAATAATATACACAGCGTATAATTACTACTCATTTTGCATTAAACGTTCATTATTATATTAAAACCCACCGTTATCATTAACTATATTTTGCATGAAATATATTATTCTAATCGTAAAAAACAGTTTACAGTAAGTATAAAATTTGTTTTGGCTTATTAATGATCATTGATCTTAGAATGCTAATAAATTCATGCAATTCATAAACATTTAGGTACTATAGAAAGATAAATTCATTGATATAGCGGTGATAAAAAAATAAACATATTATAAACATTATTATACATACGTCAAACACATATAATAACTTAAATATTTATGTACTCATATAATATATATTTGTGAATTCAAAATACAAATTATTATACGCAAATGATGTACGGACAACATTTCTGATGAGACCGATTAGTATTGCGCCCTAATAAATTCGATAAGTTCTATTAGAAAAAAAAAATAATGAGATACTTACATATCATATTATATATAAACTATAACTATTTAAAACAGATATAAACATAAATGACTGTAAGCGTTAAAAATCCATTCACACTTAATAACCAATTGCGATAAGTAAACGAACAAATAATCTAATAAAAATAATGTGAGTATAGAAAATAGCTTTAAGTTTTATCAAATCATGTGAGCAAAAATTAATTCAATATTCGTTTTACGAGGTCTAATTTAAACCTTGTTTTCTAATCGTGTTGTTACATCACTATTTATTATTAAAATATATTACACAAAGACTATATAAAATGTTAATTAATTTTAAATTTTTAACTAAATATTTATATAGCTTTTATCATTTTCAGCAATATTATAAAAAAATAATAGTTTTTTTTTTACCAAAATAGAATATACGATGCTTATGTAAACGTTATAATTTTTTTCGTCTGATATTAATTAATTTAAATTTAAATCATTAAAAATGCTCATTATCAAATGAAAATTTACACCAAGTAAAATCTAATTTGATTTTAATAAAAAAATTAATTGATTTTTTTTGTGTAAGCTTTATTGCACTATTTAGTCGTAAAATTTCCTATCGTTTTTTTTCGGTTGTTAACTTAAAGTGAATAACTAAAAGTCTTGGTCTTTTACATACTAATAATATTATTATTACTTGACTGTTAAGGTCAGTATTTAAATTTTTTTTTTAAATTTAAATCTGTACATGAGCGTTGATTTTAAATGTTTATAAATTGTTTACACGAATCTGCAAGTTGTTTGGGGATGTACAAGCGTGGGGACAATAATACTTGGTTTATTTTTATGGACAATGGTTTTATTTGAAACCTAACTTAAACTGCCGAGGGATTTGGGATTTTATTTCTATCGAAATCAAGCATAAGAATAATTTATATAGTATTAAATTTAAATTACAAATTTAATTGATACTATACACAGGGCCTGCAATTATACGGCCGTGGCATCGGTATAGCATGTCTTCATAATGATACTGATCTTAATCTAACATATATATATATATATATATATGTTTTAAGGGGTTTTGTACGAAGACAAACCACAACGGGCAAAATATTAAAATGGACAATGGTACGTTTTATTTTTTTTTAGAACGATCACAAATATTCATAGTTAGGTCTAAATTTGATCTCATGATTTAAAAAAGAGTCGATTAACTTGTTATGACAATGCCTTCGAAACGTAGTGGTATTAGTTGGTCGGGCCGCCGATTGTGAAATGTCTGGAAATACCTCAGGCGGTAATCGAATTCAGGGACGCTTCAAGGAGGAATAATGATGTGTAACAAAGTGTCTGCATATTAATATTATAATGTATACTTGAGTAAACGATTATAATTAATCAAAACATTGAAAAAATTGGATCTTTTTTTTGTAATGATATTTTAACATCGGTATTGTTATTTACCGACCATTGATATTTTATTATTTGTTTAGAATAAACCAAATAAGATAATTGAATACATTATGCAAAATTCCTATGAAATAAAAATCCTCTTCGTTTATTTAAATATATTGGTAATAATATTGAAAAATAATTCCTCTACACAAAATAAAAACTGTGTTTTTCAGTAAGGATTCTAGGTGATTATTTAACCAAGAGTGTTTAAATCATAAGCTCTAACATACGAGTATTAAACATAGACTATTGGGGTTCAATGTTTTCATTGTTTAAAATTTTTGTTTTATAAAATTATCCTTAGTGCTTGGTATAATGTTATATAATTATTATATTCATTCATTTATGTTTTATTATTATACTTAATATGTTAGTTTCAAATCATCAGATATTTTTTCCTGTAACATAAATTCGATATAAATATAAAAATTAATAGCTTTAAATGTATGTATAAACATACAGTTTATAATAAAATAAAATAGTATTCACTATAGATATATTAAAATTAAAAAGGAATTCTTAACATCTATCGGGTGATATTCTATTTTAATATTTTGAGGTGACTGTTAATTATTTAAATTCCATAAAATTATCATGAGAGAGTGAACAGTAAACACTAGTAAAGATATTACTATAACTTGTGGTTAGTAGCTATAGTGATTTAACTAGGAGGGATCAAAGTGTGCGAATGGTTAGGGAGCCCGAAGTAATGTATTGTTTTTCTTTTAATAATTTATAATATTAATATTATTATTTATTTTATACAATTTTTATAACTTAACCAATTATAAATAATTTTACCTTTGAACTTTGAACTTATTCCTAGTAAGATTTAATTAAGCGATAGTTTTTGATTTTAAATACTATTCTATGTATTATATAGGTTTAGTTGTATAATAACTAGGATTGAAGACTTATAGTACTTAAAAATCTAAAAATATGCATGCACTTAAAAATCAAGAAATACGTGCTTAAAATAAGCTCTAAAAAAATTATTTTATTTTATTATTTTGTCTAGTTATAACATTTAATATTTATATAAGAAAAAAATTAATAAAAATTACATTATGATTGATTAATTTATTAATAAGTACTTGAAAATACATTTTTTCGTTGTCTTGATTTTTTTGTTTTCTTTCTTCGTTTTCATCTCCTTTATCTTGAAATAAAAATATGACAGACAACTGAAGTTCACTAATCACTACCAATAGGTATATGCGTTTCAGTTTTATCAATTGTATCGGCCAGTTAGTAAATATTACCTAACTGATAATAAAAATATTATTTTTAAATAGAAAATTTCACCAATTTGATCTTTTTTTTGTCTAAGCTAATTTAAGAACTTCTTTCAAAAATTGCCAAATATGTTTTTTAAATTTTCTAATATACTCAAATATTCATTTATATGCGACAAAATTTGCAAAATAAAATTTTAAATTTGATTTCCTGGTGTTATGTAACACATTTCTTAATCATTAAAATTTTTCTACGATCTTTCTAAAAATATGAAAAAACTAGAAGTCCTCAGCCTTATTAATAACATATTATTTAATAACCTATAATTTTTCTAACCGCCCTTAGTAATTATTTATGACGTTAACACTTAATAAATGATTTGTTTTCATTGATACAAGTGCTATTAAGTATTCAATTACCTTGTAACAACTGAAGTCTTAGTATATAATTTGTGATTGACATGATTTCCAACGTGTATAATAGATATATTTAATTTGATTGTTTTTGTTTATAGTAGTCAGTAAATCAGTAATATGATGACAGAGTCAGAAAAAAAATTATATAATCATAAACCAATGGAACATTTACAAAAATTATATAGTTATTTCAACAGATTATGAATAATTTCATCTCATAGTAACATTGCTCGAATTTTCATACATTTTAGGTGCAGTCAGATACGTATACTAATTACTATTCGGTATATGTGTATAATAGACCCTCCATTTTGTCTTAATTATACCAAAAAATAAATTAGATTGGTTAGGTTAGGTAAAAATTTTAGGCTCAAAATAATTTTCAAATTATCGCGAGGTATGCAATATATATTATCACTATTATTAGGTTTTCAGTATTAAATAGTAATTTTTTTTGCTTGAATATTTGTTATAATGATAGATTCTTTTTTCTTGAAAATCTTAGATGGATAATTTATGCTAATACTTTTTGAGTGTTTCAAATTCATACTCCATCAATCATTCAAATCAGTAGATACGTAGTTTTAGTTCAAGGGTGAGGTTGGTTAAAGAATATTATAATACATATAGTATAGTCCGGTGGACAAGGTTAAACGCTAAGATACACATTATTGTACGCAATTTTATCATAGTTCATGAATAATATTATTTTAGTCATAATAGTATAAAGCATTTGAGATGCTGATATGTATGGGTGTACTTATACCGCAGCCGTGTTCAACAACTGACAAATGAAATATAGTCGTGATTTTTTTAATCATAACTATTTATAATGCAAAATATCAACCTACGAAATTTAATATAACACTGTATAAGTTATTTTTAAATACAGTACACTAAATTGATTTTCTACACGTTACCGTAAAAATTAATTTTCATATTATATCCATCATGATTATTGATTACCGTGGATACATGTTCATTTCCTCCACTAACTAAAAAATAAAATAAATAAATAAATGTTGTGAAATATTGTGTTGTATTTACTGTTTGTTACGAATTTTACTTTTATATACACCGCAAAAATGGCTGTCCTTTATGTGTCAATATTTTAATAAACACTGTTTGTGACGGTAGGTAAAATAGAACAAAATTTTCAATTAGTTTACGATGTATTGTATTTCCCTGTAAAATGTACTCACCGAGTTTTAAATAAAATCCCAAAAATTTTATCGCAAACTTAATTTCTGTTCAGTATAATTATTACTCAAACGTGATGATTCATCATTGATTATTAATTTAATATTATTATTCGAGGCTTACACATGCTGAGATGAATTAAATGAGATTATTGCGTATTGTGTCAAATACTCCCACATAATCTCTATTCTCTAGAATAAATTTAAATATTGGTCAGCGCAAAACGATTAATAATATACCTACACATATTAAGATACCCATTTAAGCTAATAATCTTGTGACATATCAAACCTTTTTGAAATAAAGTCTCCTATATACCACTGCGGTTTCCTATTAAGAGTTTCATATTTTTTCACTGATATTAGTGGCATAATAGTATACTGTGATGATATATTATTTAAGTCGCTAGAAATGCATTTCAGATATTTTAATGTCTCGTAACAACACTTTACAGTACACTAGTAAGTCATGGCATTTACAATATGCAAATATTATATTTTGTTTTTCAATAATAGTTATACTTTTTTATGATGATCATCTAACTCAATATACAGTACACGCATTATCTAAAATAATACAATGCATGACTTAAAAACGGAATTTATTTATTAAGATCCCTAGTCTATAGTATTTAGATACCTGTTGCTAATTACATAATTTTAATATATATGACTTATTAACTTATTTCATGGGGTATTTGTGACGGTTAATTTTATAATACATGCACCTATTTTATACGTCTTTAATAATAAGATTGAAATATTTTTCAGGGAAAATTCGGAACATAAAAATGTAACGTTTAATAATAACGATACGCTAACAATGACGCCTGTATTTCCATTGACGTGGGTGCCGAAAATGAATACTGGTAGAGAAGACGACGTGTTGATATTACCAAACATCGCCCTCCTGGTAAGTTATCCAATGAGAAAATATTTTTTTCAACTACATTGATTCATCATCTATACAACACTACTGTAGACATAATAAATCAAAATTCAAATACGGATACATATATCGGTCAAAATATTATGTTTGGTGATCGATTACCATGTGCAAAAAATAATTTATTTTAAAGCGCGCTAAAGTGTTCATTTCAAACGAATATACTAATAATACTATATATACATAATAGGTAGGTACACACTTCGTCCTCGCTTGTTTTTCAGTGACTTATTATCTCTGTCATATTATTAGAATTTTTAAAACAGACGAAGAAGAATAATGTATCGAAACGTTTGGAGAGAATTCGATTACAATATTCAAAATTATATTTTCATATCACGGTTGAGTAGTTGACATGTGGTTAATGATATATGCAAACATATTATTCAAGTACCGATAGAATATAATAATACAAAATTATTTATGATATAATGTATACTCAAACCTTAACTTCTGTATGTATTTTAAATAATATTTTCAGTAATTTGTATCATTCTAATTAATATTTAGTATTTGCTTTTGGTTGGTTCGAAATTTTTAGAACTTTTAATTTTTTATTACTGTCACCTGATATTTTATTGAATTAAAAATTGTGGGTGTCTATAACTATATATTTTTATTCGTTAAATATAAAGCTTCAATAAAAACAGTAGTTAGTCTATGATGGTCACATTAAATTATGCATCATTGCTATAATTTAAAGATTCGTATTTTTGAAACTTAGCCCCACAAATATTTTTATAATAATTATTATTTTGAACATAATCTCAGTTTTATTTCTATAATAATGTTTCTAAATGTATTTTCTTCTCGTTGTGTTTTTATAGAGTTTTGCCAGTGTGATGTCAGAAGCCTCTTTGATCACCAGAATGGGTGTCAATCTACTTATTCGCCAAACGAAGTCTAAACCATTTATCAGACAAACAGCTAAGGAGTTCATGTTCGGTTATGAGAGTGCATTAGTGACTATAGGCAACAAATTCTTGCCATCCTGGATTGCGTTTGACAAGCTGGGCCTTATAGACAGAGTAAGTTTTAATACAATGTTCTATATGATAAAAAAAAAAAAAAAAAAAAAAAAAAAAAAATTGAAATTAAAAATAAAAGCTATTACTGCATAGATTAAAAGTACATATTGAGATCAATATTATTGAAAAAATAGGAATTTCTAAACTAATAATTTTTTTAACGATTAATAGGTAAAAATACATTTTTTTCTAAACTTATTTACTCAGTGGGAATATATTATGTATATAAATAGATAAATGTGTGTATAGTATAAGAACACATTACCTTTAAGTCATTAAATCATTAGTACATAACTTTGTTAGTAAAATTAATTATTATCTTCGTTAATCTTATATTCATGTAGACGACTTTTTCGCGGGATGTGCCAAATAATTATTTTATTAGGGGTATCTCCTATCGACTTACCATCTATAGAGCTATATATGGGATAATTATTAATTTTTGTTGCATTTATTTTTAGGTTATAACTTCATAATGTAATAAAAATTAATATTTGTAACTAAATTAATCATTTGAAGTGAGCAGATGCACAACTTGTGCTAAGTTTATATATTAACACTTTGTAACGTATATTTATTTACCAAAACTTGCATAGATCAATGATAGGTGAGTTAATATTAGTCTTATTAGATTTATCGTAAAAACAACTATTCTAATACTGACATAATTTACCTAAATACATCGAAAATTAATTTATGAAATTAAATAAATTCATACATAAAGCTGTTGTGATTTTTTTGATTTCTTCGGCAAAAAAGTTCTATAATATAAAATGTATTAAGATTTAAGATTACATTTTGGCGTTTAAGAATGTGATAGCATAACATATAGTTATTATACAAAATGTTTTTTTTGTAACGAAAAACTTCAATTATTTCAAAGTCTTAACATCTTTTAAAAACTTATTTCACATAATTTGAATTTATATCAAAATAATGCTTTTCGGAAAAATAAATGTATACTAATTTTTTATTTCTTTTGAAAGACAAAAATATTTTTTTATTTCATATTTTACTGTAAATTCTTATGTATAAAATTTGAATTTCAAACTATTATTAGTTAGTTATGAGTTATAAATATTATTTTCAGTATATATGAGTGAAGTAATGAACCAACATTTAAAGTTTATTTAACAATAAAATAGTATAAACATATACCGCATGTAATATAAAATAGTTTATGAAATAATGATAATGAATATGCAGCTTACGGATTACTTCGCATAATCTATGTTCGAGTTCAGGGCGTGCTCAAAATGAAAAACCTGTACGCATTAGCTGAAAATCGCATAATTATTTGTTCTTATATCTATTCGAGTGAGTGGTCGGACGATTCTTCGTCTCTTTTGAATTATAAACATACCTACGTGTATATTATTATAACTTAGATGCATTATAAGCTATAGGTATATGCTTATTACTAATCGACATGGCCGTGTAATAACCATACAGACGATTTTATCCAAAGTTCCGATTAATCGAACTATGTGGATTATAATATAACATAATACTCAAGTTTATAAATCCAGAATTTAATGAATGATGATTAGTTCATACCAAGAATCCTGGTTACTATTCGGTTCACAGTTGGCCACGATTTGTTAAAATCTAATTCATATAAAATAAATCTGTGGGTTATTCCCAAATACGGTTTTTACTTTTTAATTGTATTGCTTGTAAAAGAAAATAATACAGGCGCTCATGTGTGAAGTGTTAATATAATACCTACGTACTTACTGTTTATTACACACCAACTTCGTATTAGACAAATAAAATTATTAACATTAAACATAATATTACATGATCCTTCATTTTTGAAAATTAATTGCCTACTTGAATAACGGAATAATAATTATTTGTTGATAATAAAAACATGGTATTATAGTTTAATTATATACCGTAATTATTATTAATAGTACAAGAAAATTTTTGAAAGCACGTTACACAAAATTATATAGGTACTCGCTCAGTTGCAAATTATAAACGTTGTTTGACTAGATTGAAGACAATTTGAGATAATATGTGTGTACGTATTAATGTCGATGAGTGACCAACGTGATGCACTAAATTATAACGATTAAAAAAAACACATGCAGTAATCTTGTAAAGTATTTAGCAAATTCTTAAGCAAACAAATCACTGATTACATTTTTTAAGTAGTTAGACATGCGCTGTAAACGTTAAACGGTATAGTATCTTATTATTATTTTTATTTCGTATACATTTAGCACGGATTATGATCGAATAATAAGTTTATAAAACGTCGTCAGTTTGATATGGGTAATTATACATATTGAATTATTTTATTCGCAGTTATTTGAAATAACAAATGAAAAAGCATAACTATTAAATGAACCTCACTTGAACATAAATCACCGTTGTTTATTTTTACTTATGATATTTTACGAAATATTTTATATTAAAGCGTTGCGTTGATTTGCATTCTCGATTTGGATTTTCACATTTATTTTTATTTGCTACATTTATTTATATGAATTAGTTATACGATAGGTATTACTTCCGGCATTTATTTTTCTTACGATATTATACTGTTGCTGTAATTTTATCGTAATGTTTTTACGATGATTAGATGTAGGTCCATTTAATTGTTATATCCTTATAATTTTGTCTATATGAATGTACATACGATTGTTATTCATGGGTTAGTATATGTAGATTATAGGATTTTATTTTTTTTTGGTTTTTACATACTTGACATGCGTGTTTGTTTTCATTATAATAATATTTTGATAATATTGCAGTTGGGAATTTATTAAGAATTCTTCAATATCTTTTGATAATAACGGAAAATAACAATACCTAATTCATAAATAAGTTGTATTGAAAAATTGAATTTTAAATAATATTATTTTATATTTTTACCAATTGTTAATTATTATTTTTGATTATTATAATATTATAGGTATTTTTATTTCTAATTACTATTTTTACAAACACCTATAATTATACAATATTAGAAATCTGGAACTCTATAAGCTGCTAAGAGCTTGACTTTTCCGAACTTGTTCTATTAACCTGCAATAATCGGCTTTAAATTCCGTCGGTGTACGGTCAAAATATTGTAATCAACGCTGTTGCTTAATGCACTTAATGTATTATTTTATGCACAGACGTTTATTATTTACGATTCTTCTATCTTTAATCGGAAAATTAAAATGATTGTTGTTAATATTTTGTATCACAGATGTACGACTTCACCGGTGACAGCGCAACAATATACACTGGCAAAAGTGACGTGTCTAAGTCTGGAATCATTGAAAACTACAACAGAAAACCGTATCTGCCTCAATGGCCATCGTCGCCTTGCAACAAAGTAACGGGTGCTTCGGATGGTACCAAGTTTCCATCAGAGTCAGAAAATGGCACAGAATTAATGTTCTTCAGGAAGTCTCTATGCAGGGCAATTCCGATGGTAAGTACCACCCGTTGTGTTTAAACTGTCGGAGAGCGGAAACCCAAAAGTTATTTTATTTTTTTTTTTAAAGAAAATCTAAATGAGCATAAATGTGTTTATTAAAACTCGTTTTGTACCAACAATAATTACTCGGATTATAATTCTAGTCGAGACATTTTCACCATAAAAAAAAAGACTTTGACTACATAATTTTAATTTTTTGTTATCGAAAATACGTAATATAAAAAAGTAATTATTGTTTTTAAATTAGATATTTTATTTTTACAACTTACTTTTTTTTAGTGAAGATAATTGTTTTCCTTATCTAAAACTGTGCATTGAAGATTGATTTATATTATATAATTACTCGTAATAACTAACAAATATTGAAATATGGTACTCGTGTGGAACTATGACGTGTAAATTGTTTTGAATAAGTATTTAAATTTCTATAAAATGTATCACATCTAATCGTTTGAAAAATAGCTATTTTTCTCTTAAAAAACTATTTAATTTGCACTGATACTTTGTGAATTAAATTTTAAGGAAATTTCGTTTAGTTTCAACAAGTTGTTAAAAATTTAATGCCGGCACAAAACGCGATCAACGCGAATAACACTCATGTATATTTTGTAAAAACGGTTATAGGTGAAAGCGAGTGAGCTTATGATACACGACGGTTTGCCGGTGTACAAATATATTTTCGAAAACGGATCATTGGACAACGGAGCTGAAAATCCCAAAAATAAGTGTTTTTGCCGTAAAAATAAATGTTTGAAACCAGGATTGATCGATGTCACCGACTGTTATTATGGTAAATAATATAATACAATCCGTAGGAAAAAACCTTGACTGTATAATATTATCACGATATTATGTTGCAAACGCATAAATATATGTATATTACACCATTATAAATAGCTTTTTTAAAACTCTAAATATTTATTTTTAATTGGTCTTAAGGTTTTCCTATCGCATTATCTTACCCTCATTTTTACAAGACCGATCAATCGATATTAGACGCCATCGACGGAATGGCTCCCAATGAAAAACTACACGAAACCTATTTTCTTATCAACCCGGTAAGACGATAATCATAATTGTTAAAATATAAGTGTAAATGTATAATAATATATGATATTATGATGATTAAATTTCACATAATTTTTGTGCGTTGTTTTCCATAGATCGAAAACCAAACGCGTGTTATTGTAATATTGTATTATTTACCACCCATTGTTTGTATTTATATAGAAAACGGGTATGCCTACACAACTTTACGTCAGAATGCAAATTAACCTTGCTCTAGGTGACATATCGGACATGGCAAACACGGAACATTGCAGTAACTTAGTTATACCATTAGTTTGGACAGAGATTGTAAGTACCTGTCTATTTATTTATTTTATGACATTATATTGTCATTATTTATTATGACTACTCATAACGAGACAATATAAAATATAATTAAAATAACTTAACATAGAATACAAAACAAATAAATTATTTGGTGACTAAAAGTTACCGTAAGTAAGTCATGTACAAATGTTTCACATAAAAAATAAAAAAATAAGGCAAACGATATGAAATATAACGTATTCACATAAAAAATAAAACCTTTTTAACAGTACAAATAATTACAACCTGATTCATCGAAAAAATGTATTTAAAACATTTTTTCATTGGTCATAAAATAAAACTTAAAAAAATACACAATATGACCTTCAAACATTTATACATGACGTTTGTATTTTAAATTAAATTCAACAATGTACCCATATACTTTATTAGTATATTATAACATAAATTATATATAAATATATCAAGAAATATAAAAAAATCATAATTTAATTGACCTTCAAAAAACACTAAATGAAAAACCGTAATTGATGAACAAAAACCATTCGTAAACTAAGCATTTATGTGGGATAACCTTCATTTTTAATTGCGTATTTTTTTTTTAATAAAGAAGGGATATTATTAAGAACATCTGTTCGAGGACTTAAAAATCCGATAAACTGCTAAATCGTACGTTTACTCTTAAAATCGTAGTTACTAAACTAAATCAAATCTTCTGTTTTTCTCAATCATTGGCGGAAAGGTTTATCTATGATAAAATATTTGTTATTGAAGATAACTTGTCGTGTTATACGATTTATTATATTCGTAACGTCGGCAGTTTGTCGAAAGTCTCTATTGTTAATCGCAACAATTTTCGTTTCACGAACAAATCGTGAAAAATGCCCTTAAAAGTGCATATTTTAAGGTCGATTAAGTCAAAAATTACTTTTAAAATAATCAGTATGCCCATAAACACGCGTAGTCGTATATTACACCGAACACGCAGGACCAAACACGGTAACGACGCTTCAGTGTTTGCGTGTTGCAGGGATTCGAAGTCTCGACCACATGCGACCAGTTTTCTGTGTACCTTCTCGCGTCAGGCCGGTGCTTGTTCGCAAATGCCAAGCGCGCTGCTGGCGGTGGCGTGGCGTTCATGCGCTCACCGTGATCGGTCTCTGTTCAACCTCGACTGACGAGCTCGGTTCGCAACTCGCTATCGGCGCGCGCCGAAGCCAGACGCTGACCTGACGGCGGCCGAGGACGCGACGCCGACCGATACGCGTGCCGATGTGGATGGCCGCGCCCCGGCGAGACCTGGCAAGAGATAACGTACCCTAGGCGCCGCTGCTGGCACGGCGACGAAAGGCGGCCGCGGCCGCTCAACGACGACCTGTGCAGCCGGCTGGACGTGGAATGACGAGGTCGCCCATGGTCGTTGCAGTCGGTAAGTACGACGACGACGACGGCAAGCGCGGCGTAAGCAGTCTGAGACCGACCCGGTGACGGACGGCGCCAGAACAATACGCTGTTGTTTACAAAACATAATTATTATCAATTTATTAACCTATAATATATTATCACGTTTTATGCCCGCTGTCCTATACGATCCGGAGACAAAAGGCGTTGTAACGTTCATCGAGCATTATTATTTTATGTTATACGATTGGTAGTATACGTTTGATATGTAATATGTTAAGTATAAAATAAATAATATTATGTTATATATATCGACGTACGCATCGGCTGTAGGTAAGAGACGATATATTATTATTACGACGCGTACGCGTGCAGCGCGTACTCCACAATATATTATAATATATTATTGATATAATTTAATGTTTAAGTAAATATAATATCGACGATGTTCTGGAAACAAAGAAAGAAAAATACATTTAAATTTTGTTCCATTATATTATTATGTAGGTAGTAGGTACTCTAGACGTTTGCCGATTGCATTCCTCGTTTTAAACCGTAATGATATATATAATAATTTATTGAGTATAATAATATTATGACGTGGTAATAATAATATATTATATCGATGCGAAAATGTGATAACCTAGGTCTAAGTTATTAAAGCGTGATTTTTATGTTATATTTTACCATGTACAAACTGTAAAATTTTCGGTGTCGGTCTCCGTGCGATCATGTGTATGTGTATGTGTTATATATTTATAAACATATTACGATAAAAT